CGCGCGGCCCGCCTCGGCTCCCGTAGTCCGGCTCTGGCCTGGCCCGGCGCCTCGGGCTTCCTCGGCAGCACTCGGGCGGACTCGGCTATTGTCGGGCCCAGCTGGCCCCACCCCGCCACCCCGGCCTCTCCTTCCTCCCTTTTCCTGCACAGGTCTTGTGAGGCCCAGCTGCAGCTTCAGGCACGGGTCTTGCCGGGTCTTGCCGCTTTACTGCTCCCTCGGAGAGGGAGCTGCGGCTCAGGGTGGAAGAAGGGGGGGCGGCAGCCGCAGTGGCGGCAGCGTATGGGAAGAGGCTGGGCTTCCGCGGTTCGGCGCCGAGGTCGGCAACGGCCTCGGGCGACTAGGCGCTTCGGGTATTTCCGTCGCCTGCCTGCTTCGGTTCTTCCTGCCCGGCCTGTCCTGTGCGCCTGCGCAGCCCCCCGTAGCTTAGCGACGAGTTTGGGGTTTCGACTTCGTCAGCAGGGTTCCAGTATTTCCGTTCGCCGTGATGACGTTTCGGCTGTTCTGCAGTCAGTTCCGGGGATGCTCGCCAGCCGGGCAGGAAGCAGTTCTTGCTGCCATCTTTGAAAGGGGCAAGTGATTGCCGCTTGCTCTCAGCTAGTCTAGCTACTGTTGCGCCGTATCGCGGTGCGGGTGGGTCACATAAGGTCGTTGCACCGAAGAGTCACAAAGACGGGTTAGGCCAGGGTCATTACCCAGAGGGTGCAGGGCCGAGCTCCCCTAGTGTCCCCTCGCAAACTCAAAGACTCCCTTTTGTGGTGATTCCAATTGAGGTAAACAACATGGTTCGAGGGGCCAAGGAAGGCGGAGCACTGAGGCCAACAGTTCCGGGAGACATAGCGAGACTTCATTTCTTTCTTTCTCTGCTCTCCTCTCCTTCTCTCCTTCCTTCCTTCCTTCTTTTCTTTCGTTCTTTGTCTTTTTTTTGTTTGTTTGTTTTCCGGTACTGGGAATTTAACTCACGACTTGAGCTTGCCAGGCAGGCGTTGTGCCGCTGAGCTAAATCCCCAGCCCCTCTTTGTCTTTTTGAGACAGGGTCTTGCTGTGCAGTTCAGGCTTGTCTTGAACTCACTTTGTAGTTCAGACTGACCTCTAACAGCAATCCTGCCTCAGCCTCCCCAGTGCTAGGATTACAGTATGCCATCACACTCAGTTTGTGCTGTTTATTTTCAAACAGGCTGTTTCCACAGGACAGTTGATGACCACACCATGGTTTTAGTCCAGTCTTCAGTGGTTGCTTTGGCTAGCCTGGTCGTCTGTGTATGCACCCTCCTGCTCATTGTTGAGGTCCACCTACGAGTGCCCATCTAGGAGTAGAGTATTGGTCTCCTACTAAGGAATTTTCAGGCCGGGGATATACCTCAGTGGCATAAGCACCTGCCTGGCAATTGCAAGGTGCTGATTTCGATTCCTGGTACCAAAAAAAAAAAAAAAAAAAAAAGGGATTCTGGATTGCCCAGAACTGGGCCTGTGTGCTCTCCAACCTGGGTTTCACCATTCAAGAATGGGGTCATGGGGTCCAGACCATGGAGGGCATAGCCAAACTGGAACCAGGAACTGAGTGGTGTGTGCAACTATGGGAGCCGATACGCGAAAGCCTGTAGTTTTGGAGGCGAGGGGCAGGCGAGAGACCAGGGAAGGGAAACGGGAGATGCTGTGAGGATAGGCGGTTGGAGTCAGGGTGCTGAGGAGTGAAGCGGATAGAATGGGGGACTGGGTTTAGGTGAGAATAACTGCATGAACACAATTGGGAGGAGCTGCTGGGCTGGAGAACAGAGCACCAGGTAATGGCCAGGCACATTGCTATAACTGTTCCCCGACTAGGGTGGGCTTTCTCCTAGGCATTTTTTTTTTACTGGAGTGGGGAGAAGAGTATGAGTATGGGGATTGAATCAAGGAGTATTCTATTTGCTACACCCCAGCCCTTTTTGTTTTTTAATTCTTAATTTATTTATTGAAATAGCAAGGATTGAAATATCCCCAGCCTTTTATTTTTTTGAGTTTTATTTTTTTTAACTTAAATTTACATTTTTTTAGGCAGGGTCTCACCACATAGTCCAGGCTGGCCTCAAACTTGCGGTGATCCTCCTACCTCAGCCTCTTGAGTGGTGGGATTACAGGGGTGTGTCACCATGCCTGGCCATTTGAGACAGGTTCTTGCTGAATTGTGCAGGTGGACTTGAACTTGGCATCCACATCCCTTAGTCTCCCTGAGTGCTGGGAGTACAAGCATGCACCACCATGCCTGTGTTATTTTTTAACCAGATGCTTTTTTTTTTTTGGTACCAGGAATCAAACTCACGACCTTGTGCTTGTCAGGCAGGTTTGCTGCTGAGCTGTGTTCCCCACCCTATTTTTTTTTTTTTTTGGTTTTTCTCCGGTACCAGGAACCGAACTCACGACCTTGCGCTTGCCAGGCAGGCGCTTTGCCGCTGAGCTAAATCCCCAGCACCCCCCCAACCTATTTTTAAATTTCAAGTCTTGCTGAGTTTTCCAGACTTGCTTCAAACCCTCCTTGCAACCCTACTGTCTCAGCCTCCTGAGTAGCTGGAATTACATGTGTGTGCTACCATACCCAGCTCCCAGTTCCTTTTATAGCTGTGGCTGTGGGGCTGAGTGGCTGTTCTGTCCAGGCTGTGAGTACTATTGCTTGGCTGCTGGGCAGCCCGTCACCACCCTCTGTGACTCTGGCCCAGCATCTTTGGAGGGGATGATGGGTATGAGTGTGGGCACCAGAGGCTCACTGTGTCACATAGGAGTGGCCTCTGGTTCAGGCTGGCTTGTATGTACCCCCTGAGACCAGGGCCTGCCTTGGGGTGTGGGAGGGGATAGCTTACAGTCATTGGAAACTTCAGCTACCTTTGGAAGAAGCGTGGACACACAGGGCTCATGTTGCTGATCCTGACACTGCACAGGCCAGTCAGGCTCACCCCGCCCAGCATAGGACCTTGACCGAGGCTTAGAGTTCAAGCTGGACCCAGCTGCATGGGGACCCTTTGACCCCTGTTTACTGGTACCCACCCGGAGAAGCAGGCAGGTTGTTGTCACGGTTCTGTCCGGTAGAGGGAAGAGGGACATGGCTAGGACACAGGAGGCAACGGGACAGTGTCCTGGGAATGACAGATCTGAATCTGTGAGATACTGGCTTGGTATCTCGGCATCCACAGAAGCTGCTGTCGTCTCACTGCCTGTGACAATTTGCTGGATGCTCATGGGTGGAGACTTCCCAGGATGAACCTGTGGGTGATGAAAACCATCACCAGAAGGTAGAGAAACTGTCCATGGGCCTGCAGCCTGTGCTGCCCGGACTAGCTGGGGTTCCATGTGTAGGGCCCTCCATCCTCAGTACTGCTGACTGTAAACACACAGGAACAGAAAATCTCCAAGTGTCTGAATTTCCAGGTAAAACCTTCCAGCCTTTAAACTCAGAAAATGGCTTCTGGGAGTCTTAAAAACACATCCTCAGTCAGGATCTTGCTTGCCAGCTGCCAATTTACTAATTCTGCTGCATCTGATGATGTTGGCTGGCGAGGGTGGGGGCTGGGCTTATTCAGGTCCCCTCTTGGGGGATGTTTCCAAGGACAGTCATGATGGGAATGGATATATAGGTTTAAGACACCACAGTCCAGGCAAGGGGCCACCCAGAAACTTGGCAGCTGGGTGTGGTCCTGGTGGGCCCACGTAGATGGATCCTGGATTCACACCTGAGAAGCCCCACAGGGCCACGGTGGGGAGAAAGCTTTTGGCTGTGACTACTGTGAGAGTGGGTATTAGCAGGATGAAGGTGATGGGACAGCTGAGTTGGGAGTAGAGAGGTGGTATCACAGCATTGGCTTTGGTCAAGGTGGTGGACTTGATGAGCTTGGGAAGTCAGGAATCCTGGAGACCAGAGTGTTCTAATCCCTAGAGGGAGGGGTGGCTTTGGCGTTGAGGGAATACAAGGGCTGGATTTCCAGTTAAGCTCCTGTCTCTGGGGTCCACGCTTGTCTACCCGGGCCTCACTGTGCAGGGCAGGGACGTTTTTACAAACTGGTCCCCTTCACCTGAATCTGTGAGGGACAGGTGCCCCTGGGGCTAGGAGGGGAGGAAAGGCTATCCTGGGAGCAGCACATTCGTTACACACATACTTCTCAACCAGGTCAGCGGATTCTCAGAGACTCACAGCAGTGCCCCACCCTCAGGAATCTCAGCCTAGGCCTATGGGGTACCCTCCTCTGGGGGCACCGTAGGGCCAGCCCAGCAGTAACAAAGCCACAGGGCCTACCTGCTGCCTAAGACTTCAGAACCAACTCTACAGCAGAGTCCTCTCCTTTTCAGGGACTCCCAAATTCCTCCTTCTGGACAGCTTGACTACCCTTTTCAGTTCCCAACCACCCAGCTACCATCCAGTTAGTACCTCTGTTGGAACATCTGTTGTCCCTGTTCCTACACTAGAAGCTGGTTGGTGGACGCTCAGAGGACATTTCTCTTTGGGAGCCGGGGGTTGGTTTGCGCCATGCGCTCCGGGGACAGTGGCTGCCTCACAGAGGAGCACGGCGTAAAGGAAGCACACTGCACAGGTGACACCGCGGTCTCTGTCCACCCTTTACTGAGCACCCGCGCGGCCCAGCCCGCGGCCCGCGGCTACTCCGTGCTGTGCACACGCTGGTGCTGGAGGAGCTTGGTACTCTGGTGGAAGCGGCGGCCGCAGTCCTGGCAGGCGAAGGGCCGCTCCCGCCGGTGTGTGCGCAGGTGCTGCGTGAGCGTGGGCCGCTGGCGGAAGGCCTTGCCGCACTCGGGGCAGGCATAAGGCCGCTCGCCCGTGTGGATGCGCCGGTGCTGCGCCAGATTGGCGCGCTGGCGGAAGCGCTGGCCACAGTCTGCGCAGGCGAAGGGCCGCTCGCCCGTGTGCACGCGCCGGTGCTCCGTGAGCCGCGACACCTGCGCGAAGCCCAGGCCGCAGTCAGCACAGCGGTGCGGCTTCTCGCCCGTGTGCGTGCGCTGGTGGCGCGTGAGCTTGAGCCGCTGGCTGAACCGCTGGCCACAGTCGGGACAGGCGAAGGGCCGCTCGCCCGTGTGCACGCGCAGGTGCTGCGTGAGCGTGGGCCGCTGGCGGAAAGCCTTGCCGCACTCCGCGCAGGCGAAGGGCCGCTCGCCCGTGTGGATGCGCCGGTGCTGCGTGAGGTTGGAGCGCTGCCGGAAGCTCTGCCCGCAGTCTGCGCAGGCGAAGGGGCGCTCGCTGCTGTGCACGCGCCGGTGCTGCAGCAGCGCGGCGCGGCGGCCAAAGCGCTCGCCGCACTCGGCACAGCCGAAGCACTTGTCGCCGGTGTGCACGGCCTGATGTTCCAGCAGCACCGCGCGCTGCGCGAAGCTCTCAGGGCATTCGCTGCACGGGAAGAGGCCCGGGGGCTCGGGCGTGCCGGCGGGGGCGGGCGGCTCGGGGTGCGCGCCCGGGGGGTCCCCGTGCACACGCTGGTGCTGCAGCAGGTTGGCACGCTGGCGGAAGCGCTGGCCGCAGTCGGCACAGCGGAAGGGCTGCTCGCCCGTGTGCACGCGCCGGTGCTCCTCCAGCCGCGCGCGGCGCGCGAAGCTCTGGCCGCAGTCCGCGCACAGGAAGGGCCGCTCCTCAGAGTGCGTGAGCTGGTGGCGCAGCAGGTGCGAGCTGCGGGTGAAGCTGCGGCCGCACTCGCCGCACACGAACGGGCGCTCGCCCGTGTGGATCTTCCGGTGCCGCAGCAGGTTGCTGCGCTGGCTGAACACCTTCCCGCACACGTCGCAGCGACCGCCCCGGCCCGGCCCGGGCCCCGA